ACAGTATTTCATTGATGAAATAAAATCTGAGAAGGAACTATTTCCTCTTTTTTTAAAGGAACAACATGGGTGTTCTTTGTCATCCTTCCCCAACTTGGTGTGCTCCAGATGTGTTGGGAATACATCTCCCAAAATTCCCATTGTTCATGCTGATGGGAAATTCTTAGAGTTGTAGATCTGACACATCTGGAGGGCACCAGCTTGGAGAAGGTTGAGTTAAAGGGATACTATTCCCTTATAACAGAAGAGTTTGGAGTCACCCATAAATATGATTCTGGACAGAGAAGGAAGCATTTCAGTCAATCAAATATATAAACATATAAACTTACTGTATTTCAGTGTGTTGCTTTATGCTGTACAGTTGGCCAAAGGACAATGGTATTTGGCAGCTTTATATGTAGTAAATAAATACACCAGAATTTTATGATATGTTTCTTCCTTTGAAAGGTCCACATATCAGCCAGGTCTTTGCATGGGGTTCCAGGGCTCTGGATGCATCAGAAACTTCTCAGATTATTTTTAATACAAAAATCATTCCTGACTGGTCTGCTTCTTTCCTTCCAGTGCACAAAAACAGCAAATGAGGGATGTGTTCAAAGATTCTGTTCTGTTCACCCAATACTGGAGCTGAATAGATCTGGCCAGAAGCTAATGTTAATCTGAAGGCATAGCTAAATAGCTTCCAGGATCCCCTGTATTGCACTGCCAACCTTCATTGTAGATAAATTGGCAAGAAAGGAGTACCTGTGGATATCCATTCAGAAAGATCCTATTTGGGCTTCTCTCACCCACCCTGTGGCTAAGGTAATGCTTATGCATGTATGTGAGGATGAAGATGATGTCACTGACACATGGTAAGCCATCTTCCTTCACATAATTCTGCCTTCTAACATTCACAAGAATGCTATTTTTTCCAAAATACTGTAAGGCAAGTCACTTTCCATCAGTCTAAGCCACAAGGACAAAGCCACATCTGACACCTGAAGCAAGCGTATGTTGCTTCAGGTGACTGCATCAGAGTTAAATCAAGGTGTAATACAGGATCCTTTTCCAATTACACTTTATATCTGCATTAAATTACATTGTATCCTTCCTTAGATTCGGTTTGTAATGCTTTAGCTATTTAGCCTAGAAGTACAAGCTCCATAACTGCAAAATCAATAGCTCGCTAGTGCTGACTTTACAGTCTAATCAAGTGTGAAGATCAACCATTTCTGTGATAAAAATAGTTCCTGGGGCAATATCTGGAAAATACAGTTTATCCCAAGAATAATCATCCCAATTCCCCTAGTGTCTTTCTCTACATATTAGCATCATCTCTAATACTCAATTTCCTCCAATAAAGGCAAGAAAGACTCACCTGTGGTAGTAGGGCAAAAGTTAAGAGGAAGTTGAAAAAGAGTCCAGATATACACAAATCAGAATTCTGGTAGGAGAGTCTAGGGTGTACCTAGGAGTCTAATAGAAGTACCATTAGTTATAAGTAGTGTGGAAGATCAGGAAAGTAGAATGTTGGCAGACAGTTGCTTAGTGAATGGGATGTAAAGGGGAGGGTATTTGAAAAAGTGGCGAGATGGAGAATTGGAAAGGATCCATTTGGAATGGATGTGGAACTACCTCAGCCAAAAGATTTGATCAAGATCCCATAACATCATTATGGGACAGTAATATACTAAAAACAAAAGCTTGAATAATCAGTGTTAATTTCTCTTCATCTGGATACCACTTTTGATTATTGAAGGTGAACCAACAATCTCTGTTCCCACTTAGTGTCCCCACTAAATTCTATTTCCACTGCAGTGTGTGTGTTTATGTGTTGTATATTCAATGAGCCATAACACATTTCTACTGACTTTATTTAGGATTAAATGATGACTCAGAGAACAGTGCAGTTTAAAATCAGATCCCTGTGCAGGTTGGCTCGCTTTATATGCATTGCTATCTGCTTTTTGTTAAGAAAGTGATTAAAGGCATAATTAGGAATAATGTTCCCTTTGTTCAACAGTAATTGAATCAAACACACATTTAGCAAGATTCCTTAGGGACTGGAAAAAACATTTTGTTTCTCTGCCACATAAGCATTATTTGAGACATTAGCAGTTCATCTATTCCCCACCCCACTCCCCACCTCCTGATCTTCTGCATTCTAGTTTTCCTGATTGATTTTGTTCATATTAAAACCACAAGAGGCTTTGGATCAGAAATCTATATCTATAGAGTCCTTGGGGTTCTCTGAGCTTGGTTCTTTTCTTGCAAACGTTTCATTATCCGGCTAGGTAACGTCTTCAGTGCTAAAATAGGATGGGGTTTGCTCTCTATTTATATACTGTGGCCTGCCTTGCCAGTGCTGGTGGGGGTGGGGTTTTTGTTTTG